ATGCTGAGTAGTAGGCTGCGAACTCGGACAACTTGTCAAGCGCATAACAAGGATGAGGAAACAAAACAAAGGGTTAAATATATTAATAAAAACAAGCTAACACTACCGATGGTATAGGCAACGAAACGTCTAAGAAGCCGAAATATGCACACCTATTTTGCGGTCATCATCTCCCGAAGAAGAATAGACGACGATTTCATGGACCGAGTATAGTAAGGCATTTCGATAGAACCAGAATTCCAACTGCCACAACAGATCTATGTAGAGGGAGTGAGTTTCTCTTCAAATGACTGGAGGCATCTAGTTAGCAGATCCTAATCAAGAGACTCTCTTCGGAACTCCCTTGAACTCAGCGCACAATCTAACCCTTGGATACACTATATATAGGCAATAACTAGTTAGTCGTTTGATTAGTTAACTAATCAGACCAGACTACGGGAAATTCACCTGCCGATGTGTGTAACTTAAACAGCTTATATAGATGTAGATGAAACCTAGTGTACATTGACTCGTTAACCTGTGGAATTGGCTCGCGAGTTTCGATGACATATTGTAAATATATATTAAGTTAAGTTAATATTCCTACAATTGTAGAAAGGTTAACTTAATACTACCGTCTCAGGCTATCATGCATGACAAGCACACACAAGGTGTAAATATCGAAAGAACGTTAAAAACAAGTAAGGGGCCCGTAAAAAGAAAGCGGTAGGGCGTGTAAACCAAGACTTGAAATTCAGGAACGCTGGAGTCTTATCGAATGGCGACCATACTAACCAAATAAATCGATGGCCTTCAAATAAAGCTGATAAAATCAACAGAAACAAACTGCAGGGCTCGATAACGTACATTTAACACTAAAAGTAATAACAGGGGCCTCCCGCAGAGAAATATACACACAAACAAGCCGTCCGTACGGCAACCGCGGCCTAATTGGACAAACAAGACAGACCAAATATGCCGCCTTGAATCTATGCAGCACATTCTATATTATCAGTCAGTTCGCTCATCAAGGGCTACATTTTGTCGAAGGTAGAATATTACACATCCCTGAATTCTGATTAAAGTGCAATTATTATTCATTACCAAAGTAACGCCCTGCAAACATATGCATGGTAAAAAAATTAGATAGAACACATAACGTCCCCCCAAAGTCTAGAAACTGAGGATTCAAAAAATTACGGAAACAGAGTCCGCAACGACATATACAGGGTGTCCCAAAAAATGTATACACATTTTAAATGATTGGAAACTTGTTGTTTAATATAATTTTATTATTTTCAAAATGAAAAAAGATGTACGCGTATCATTTTATTGTCTCTTTCACAGAATTTTGACTATATTTCAAACAATTGGATTGAGAGAAGCCACTGAACATGAATGCGCCCAAATAGCAAGGAAATTGTTCCATGCAGTGTCCGCTTCCATTGCTTCGCATTGTCTGCAGTGTCTGGATTAATATGAACGTCAGTATGAGAACATTCTGAGAAAAAACAATAAAGTGATACTTGTAAATATTCTGAAGTTTTTGAAATAAGAAAATTATAGTAAACGTCAAGTTTGCAATCATTTAAAATGTCTATACATTTTTTGGGACACCCTGTATATTTCTGTTTACTGAGTGTACCGATTACTGGAGTCCCTCAATGCATGCGCGAAAAATCCTAGTTCTTCTCTACTTGTTACACC